AAAGCCCCCCCCCAACCATCCCCCCTCCCGTTTCCTCATACCCTTCATTTTGCATCAAAATTAACATGTTTGAAGCAGAATTCATTATATTTCCCTCCAAATCCATCCTGCTTTCACACTTAACCTATTTTTCTTTTTAAAAATTAATTTTTACAGTTTTCAAATGTTCTTCTTTCTCTCCTTCCCATAGCCCTCTGAGAAAGAAAGAAAAACAAAATGCCTTGTTACAAACATGTGTAGTCAAGCAAAACAAATCCCCATGTTGAAAAAAAAAGTGTATTGATCTATAGTCTGAGTCTGGTACCTCTCTTCAGGAAATGAGCAGCATATTTCATCATGAGTGCTATGGAATTGTAACTGCTCATTGCGGGCATGAGTCCCCAAATCTTTCAAAGTTGTATTTATAATATTGTTGTTATTATATAAATTGTTTTTCCAGTTCTGTTTACTCCACTTTATCAGTTTACTCAAAAATCTTCTCATGTTTTTCTGAGGTTGTCTGCTTCTTCATTCACTATAGCACAATAGGATTCCATCATATTCATATACCATAGCTTGTTTAGCTATTACCCAATTGATGGGTACCTCCTGAGTTTCCAGTTCTTTGTCACCACAAAAAGTGCAGCTAAAAATAATATTCTATATATGTGTCCTTTTCTTCTTTAATTTCTTTTGGGGCATAGAAGTCATATTGCTGAATCAAAAGATCTACATGGTTTAATAGCTTTTGGGGCACAGTTCCAAATTGCTTTACAGAATGGCTGAACCATTTCATAGATCCACCAATAACGTACCTGCTTTCCCATAGTCCCTCTAGCATTTGTCATTTTCTTTTTGTTTTTAATTTTGCCAAGCTGATGGGCATGTGATAGAACTGTAGCATTCTTTTAATTTAAAAATTTTTAATTATCAGTGATTTAGAGTATTTTTTCATATGCCTACTGATAGCTTGGATTTCTTCCTCTGAAAACTGCCTGCTCATATCTTTTCAACATTTATCAATTGGGAAATAGTTCTCATTCTTATAAATTTCTACCAGTTTCCTACAAATCTCAGAAATGAGATGTTTATCAGAGTAACTTGCTACAAAGATTCCCCACCCCCATTGCCTGTTCTCTTCAAATTTTAGCTGCGTTTTGCTTGTACAAAAGCTTTCTAACATTGTGTAATCAGAATTGTATATTTTCCCTTCTGTGATCTTCTTCATCTCATTTGGCTACGAACTCTTCTTCTATAATGCAATTTCATCTTTTCTATTTTGCTTATGATGTCCTCCTTTAAGTCATGAACTTAGTTGGAGCTTATCTTGGTACATGGTATGAGTGAAATGTTGGTCTAAATCTAGGTACTGCCAAACCACTTTCCAGTTTTTCCAATAATTTTTGTTGAATAGTGAGTTCTTGCCCTAATAGTTGGGATCTTTGGATTTATCAAACACTAGGCTATTGTGCTAATTTTTTTTAATGTCATGTAGTTAATCTCTTTCACTGATCAACCTCTCTATTTTTTAACTAGTCCCAGATTGTTTTTATGATTAATGCTTTGTAGTATAGTTTGAGATCTGGGACTGCTAGGCCCCTTCCTTCCTGCTTCTTTTCGTTGATTTCCTTGTGATTCTTGACCTTTTGTATCTCCAAATGAATTTTGTTCTTATTTTTTCTAGTTATATAACATATGTAAATCCTTTAGTAATGTGATTGATCTGGCATTGAATAAGGAAATTAATTTAGATTACTTAGTAGCATAATTTTTATTGTATTGGCTTGGCCTACCAATGAGCAATTAATATTTCTCCAGTTATTTAGATGTCTTTATTTATGTAAAAAATGTTTTGTAGTTGTATTCATATGGCTCCTGTGTATGTGCTGGCAGGTAGATTCCCAAATATTTTATACTTTCTATAGTTATTTTAGTTGGAATTTCTCTATCTTATCCTTTTCAGTCTTTTGATTTTGCTTTACTATTTCTTGAAGTTTCATGGAGTCATGAGCTTCTATTTGATCATTCTAATTTTCAGAGTTTTTTTCCCCCTTGGGTAAAGTTTTGTACCTTTTGTTCCAGACTTTTAATTCTTTTTTCCAAATCTTTCTTTCAAAGCTCTCATTTCTTTCCCCATATTTTTATCTAGCACTCTCATTTGGTTTTTAAGTTAATTAAAAAACAAACAAACTCTTGATATTTCTTCTAGTAATTCTAGTCAGACTTGTGCCCAAGGTTTGTTTTTGTTTGGGCTTTGCTTGTAGATGTTTGGGAGTCATTATCTTTTCCTGGGTTTGTATCTTGAGCATCCCTGTCATCATAGCAGATTTTTATGGTGACATTCTTTTTGTGTTTATTCGTTCTTCTAGCCTCCTTCCTACCTTTAGAATTGATGTTAGGGCCAGGTTCTATATACCCTTCTGAGGGGAATGTCTTGGTTGAGCTTTTGTCCTCTTGGGACCTGCTTCTATTTTCTTGGGATATTGGGTGTTATATATATCCAGGATCTCAGGAACAGCTCTGGCTGAGGACCTGTAGGCTTTCACTGCTTCCAAAGTGCTGTACTCCAGCGCAAAGGCTGATCACCGCTTTTCTGGCTTGGCCTCTGCAAATTCTTGCCCTGGGTTTGGATCTACATAACACTCCTTTTGTTTTTCCTCTGGTTGGTAGATCCAGTAGATTGCTGCTGGACTCAGTCCCTATCAGTAAATTGGGAGGCTCTGAGATTCTGGCCCTGGTTATGCCCCTGTAGGCTTCAGACTGACCTTGAGGCTGGCTCTGAGACTGTGCTCTTCTCCAGGGTCATAGCCACACAGTTACTAATTGCTACTGATCTTTTTCCTTGCTTAGTACATAGACTAGGGCACGAGGCTGCTCTTTACCCTGGAATCCCACCAATAGATACAGGTCCTTTTTTTAGTCCATCCTGGATTTGTGATCAGGACCTGGGGAATGAGTGACAGAGCTGTCAGTTGGCACCTGTGCCCACATCCTGTACAAGAGCACAATGCCCCATTATGACTTTAGGACCTCTCCTTGCTCTTTGGCACAGTCCTGATGCCTTGTCCCCAGGGTCCACCAACAACTTTATCTGTCTCCCTATGCTGATTCAGGCTAGAAAAACGACTCATTGTGGATTTTTTCCTTTGGATTTCCCAATTAGGACTCAGTCTGATGCATTTATTAGATCTTTGTGGAGGAGGTATGGGGGAAAGCTCAGCTGTTCTTTTTTCTTCTCCTCTGACATTTAGGCACCATTCATTTATTTCTCATCTTTCTAGCACCCAGGTTTGCAAAGAGTAAAGCCGTCCTTTAGTCTTCTCTCCATCACACTTATCAGCTGTCAAATCTTCTCTCACATTTGTCCACTTCTCTGTCTCACATAGCCACTATCTCAATACATTCCCTCCACCTGGAACAATTGCAATGGCCTCCTAAAACATCTGTCTGTAATAACTTAAGCCCCAACTTAGTGGCTCATAAGGTCATAAATCCAGAGCTGACAGGGACCTTAAGGGTTATCTAGTCTAACCCCTTTATTTTATAAATGAGGAAACTGAGGCCCAGGGAGGTTATAGCTGAGGCCTGAGGTCATTCAGGTGGTATTAGAGCAAGGTCCATGCTGCCAGTTTCTCCCCTCTCTGCTTCATCTTCTTCACAGCTGCCAAATTCACCTCATTGCTGCACAGGTATGCCTATGTCCCTCCTTTGTTTAGAAACTTTCAGAAGGTCCTAGAATAAAATAATACTGCTCAGCCTGGTGTCTATAATTAGATTCTTGCCTAATCTTTCCAAATATTGCATTGTGTCCCTGCACATTCCCCTCAGTTGGCACCTGTTCCTATAGGTTCTTATTCTTTCTTTCCTTTTAGTCCCCTCTTGATCTGGAATGGGAACAGACTTTATCTAGAGGTATATTTCTGCCTGGAGGCAGGAGGGTGAGATAGATCCGAGGTTCTTAATCTGGGGTCGTTGAGCTTAAATTTTTTTTTGATAACTGTATTTCAATATAATTGTTTTCCTTTGTAAAATTACATGCTTTATTTTACACAATTAAAAACATTATTCTGAGAAGAAGTCCATAGGCTTCACCAGACAGCCAATGGGTTCCATGGTAGAGGTTTAGACCCCTTGATTAGAAGAATTCACGATTCCTTATAGTTTTCAGATTTTATATTTTTATAGGTGAATCAAACAGAGTAGAGACTATTATGAAACTGGGACAAGATGGAATCCTTAATAATATGAGTAGAAGCATTTGTAGTTAGGGTTCCTTTCCTATTGCTTTCCCCAACGCTGCCCTCCTAGATTAGAGTAAGGGAGTAAGGTCTATAGAGGAAATCAAGATAGAGGGGATTGGGAACTATGTAATATGTCCTCAGCCAAATTTCTATTTCTCATTTTTGGGCCTTGCACCAACAACCACTGAGTTAAGGGCAGTCTCCCTAAAATGTTATAAGGTAATGAATGACAAATTGGTTTTCTGCTCTTATCTTTTCTCCTTTTTAAAGAGTTTATGGGAAAACTGAAGCCAGGAAAGATGAAATGATTTACCTAAGACAAACAAATCATTGTAAGGAACTGGGTTAGAATCTCAGTGTCCTCCATACTCTGATTCATTTGACAGTTTATTCTTGAATTGAAGGCCAGGAATCATTTCTTTGAATAAGAGAAGCTTAGAGTTGGAAAGGGCTTGAAAGGGCATCTTGTCCAGCCTTCCACCCTTGCCAAAATCTCCTTCACAACATCCCTGATAGGTGGTCACTCAGCCTTTGCTTGTACACTTCATGGAACTCCCCACCTTGTCCATGTTTGAACAACTCTTTTTGTTAGAAAGATTACTTCCAAGAATGCTGACTACCTGGTGAGTACTCTGATTATTTGGTCTGTACCACTTTATGCTGGCCACATGCATTTGTGGCTATATTTAGCTTGCAGTACTTTGGTGGCAAGGTAGAACAGTAGGGGAAATATTCAGAGAATTTTCAATCTGAAAAAAAAATTGTATGTAAAGTATTTACATTTGGTTGTTTGCTTGACCAGGTACATTTCTCCACATCATCAATGTTCAACATTTCCATAAACATTTATTTCACATCCTAGTTATGCAATGTGAGGTGCTGGGCCCTAGGATTTAAAAACAAAAACCAAAGTCCTTGAGGAGCTTACCATTGTACTGGGGAGATTTAAGAAACACAGATAAGTAAATACAAGGGAATTTCAGAAAGAGAAAGAGCATTAACAAATGGGGAGGCATCAGGGAAGGCTTCTAAGAGGAGATGGCACCTGAGTTGAGCCTTGAAGTAACAGAAGGAATCTTTTAGGGAGGGAAGAAGGAATGCATTCTAGGTAGGAGGGACAAAGAAACAGGAGATGGAGTACTGAGTATGTCAGGGGGAATACTATTAACTAAGGCAGAAGGAGTAGGTTGGTGAGAAGTTGTGAAGGGTTAAGCTTGAGGCTTAGAAAGCCATTGAAAGTTTTTGGACAGAAAAGTGATGCCTGTGCATTTGGAGACTTAAGGTGGCAGCTGAGCAGAGGATGGATTGAAGAGGGGAAACTGGAAGTAGGCACCCCCCCCAGGGGAGTGAGGACAATAAGCATCCTCTCTGTCTCTCTGTCTCTCTCTGTCTCTCTGTCTCTGTCTCTCTGTCTCTCTCTCTCTCTCTCTCTCTCTCTCTCTCTCTCTCTCTCTATCTATCTATCTGTCTCTGTCTCTCCAACCCCACCGTCTTCCCCTTAAAGATAGATATAGTGAAAAAAGCACTGGATCAAGAGCTAGGTAGACGTGGATTCAAAGTCTGACTCTCTCATTTACTTTATCAGTTTTGTGACCTTGAAACATGATAACCAACAAGTTCTCTGGACCTCCATAGCTTTGTGACCTTAAACAAGTCATCATCTTTGTAAACTTCCATTTTGGACTCAAGGATTCCTATGGTCTCTCCCACATCTAAGATTGTATGAGATCCAGATGACAGCCTTGTTTTGCTAGGCTCAAGAACAACCTACAAAATGAAACCAAAGCAAAACTTCAACTTTACATTCCACAAAGCTGCCTTCATCTCCTCCAAAAACCAGGTACCGAGGACTGCCTCTTAGAACCTCGATGCTCTCGAAGCCCCAAATCCTCCTTTTCCTGTAATCATAGCCTCCCCTAATTCCCTCCTTCCCCCAAGATGACAGCAGGAAAGGGGTGGGGGGGGTGTAAAGATAACTGAACTCGGGGAGGCGGACTCCAGAAGAGGAAGGGATCTGACAAGGAGGTGAGATCCAAGAGGAAGGAAGGAGAGAGTCACTACAAGGCTCCCTCCAGCTCACCACCACAGGAGGAATAGGGAGCTAAGCGTCTTCTTTCTCTTTCTCACACTCTATCTCTCCTCCCCCTTCCCCACCCCCGGCCCTTCCGTCCCTCCCTTCCCCCTACCCCGCCCTTCTCCGAAGAACTGGCAGTTGGGCGGGACTGAGAAGAGTGGGAGGAGCCCGTTATTGGCTCTGGTCCGCGCCTCGCTGAGTTCTTCTAGTTTGCAGCCGTCTTGGGGTGCTGTGCCAGAATCCGAGGGGGCTCCAGGGAAGCCGGGTCTGGGGGTGGGTAAGCGCTATGACTGCTTTGAGCCTGTGCGCCTGCGGCAGCGGCGGGGGCCGCAGACTGCTCCGCAATCTGTGCGGGAGCCTCTGGGTGCTCCCGGGGAACAGGGGGTCGCGAAGCTGGGGGCAGGGGCTGCCCCTGCAGCTGCATCGCCGGTTCTTGGGCGGCGGCAGCCCGGGCCTCTGGGCTGCCCGGAAAAGGGCCAGCAGCGCCGCCCCAGCGGTGTTACGGAGCCTCAACACTTACGCGAAGCTGTGCGAGCAGGCTGTCAGAGAGCCCCAAGTATTTTGGGGGCGCCTTGCCCGGGACACGCTGGTGTGGGACACCCCTTACCACACAGTCGAGGACTGTGATTTCAACCAGGGCAAGATCAGCTGGTTCCTGGGAGGCCAGTTAAACGTGTCGGGTAAGGCTTGGGATGGGGGGGTGTTGGCATTTGAGGTATGGGGTGAGGTAACGGGGACTATTCCTTCTCCCCGTTTCCCCCACAGTTTACTTTTTCCTTGAACCCACGACCAGTCCATTACCAGCCCATTCCTACACTTTGCCCTAGCAACCTTGGTCACCTGCCTCCTAGCAACCCTTAGAACACGGACACAAGTCCCTCAGTAATTTGGCCACTCAGCAACCTGTCCCAACAAATTCATGACTCCCAGGTCCCCTAGCCAACCTCCCCATGCAACCCACCCCCAATTCCTCTGGCTTCCTCTCCACTTTTACCTCATTTATTCCTAGCAGTCTCTAGCAAAGTCAGGAGCCACGTCACCTTCTAGTATCCCCTTCCCACTGCAAACCATAGATCCTCCCACAAAGACCCTAAGAATCTCTGGCACAAGAAACTTGTCTTCAATACTTTGACCAGTCAGGACTCTGACAGCTCCTGACTATTGTCACCTCTTCAGAGCACTTGCGGGCCCCCTCCCCACCCCCACCTCACCCCGGAATGCTGCTTTCCTGCCAGCTTCGTGAGGCGGATTGAGAGAGCAAGTCCTCCCAGCTGCTGTTTAGGATGACAGGTTAAAGCCCTAGGCTGGAAGACTTTCGGAGGACGCTTTTCCCTTCCTTCGAGCGGTAGCCTTGTATTTACCCTTACACGCTGGGTTGGCTGGTAGGCGATCAGTTTGCACTGGGCAGCTAGCTGGGACCTGCGGACTCGAATAGGGTGTTACATTCCACCCTGGTTCCATCCTCTCCCCTACCCCTCACCCCCATCTCCACGCCTATTGTATCCCTATTGTGTCTGTGTTATAAATTCGAGCTAGGAAGAGCTCTTGACTCTGTTCCCTCAGGATCTAGACAGTTCCCTCTCCTCCCATTCTTTTTTATTTCGCCCCTGGGATGAGAGTTAGTAAATAAACTCAGAATAAAACTCCTTAGTGAAAACGAAACAACTCCTGTAGTCTCGTAGCTGGCTTGCCTTACAGGCTCTCCCACAGCACCGGGACGCATCACTCAGGCCCCAGGGAGCTATTGGTCTCCGGCGAAGTTGCCTAAGTATTAACTCTGCCCACGTAAACAAATAATACATGCTTCCTTGTAGAGCCCAAAGAAGAGGTGAAGATGAGGAAGAAAATCTTGGCCAATGAGCACAGCAAACTTAGAAAAAAAATATCTGCTTGCTCAGACAGTGCTTTATTTGCCGAGACGAGGTTCCTCAGCCTTCTAGGAAACTCTGATTATTTATCCTCAGCGTAAGGTCGTCTGTGCTTTTCACCCTCCTAAGAGGTATATGTACTTCATTTTCAAGGCCAATAACATCTAAGATTTGACACCGGTGCTGGGTCTTCAGTAATAAAGAGTCAAAACCCTTTACTTGCAGGTTTCAAACACTGAAATCAGTTGGATCAGTCAATCCACAAATACTGGCTCAGCCCTTAGAATGTACCAGGTATAGCACTAGGCATTTTATAGGGGAATAGAAAATCATAGAAGACATGTTCCAAACCATCAGGGAACATATCATTCAGCCAGGGAGAGAAGATACACACATGAAAAAAGAACTCAAAATTCAAGTAAGTGCAGTATACTGGAAAAAGCATTGGATCTATAATAAGAGAATCTGAGTTTGAATCTTGGCTCTGCCTTAACTAAGTAACTTTGGACAAGATGATCCCTAAGGGCCCTTCCAGGTCCAGATCCTATGATTCCCCATAAATACCAAATGAATGATATTGCCAAATCCAGTGATTGTTTTTCCTGTCCCTATCCTTAGTCTCTGTAGCATGTAATGTCCTTGACCATCCTGTTCTTCTGGATATTCTTGCTCTCTTGCTTTCTAACAACGTAAGAGGACAGATGCTTATCTCTAGATATATTCTTGCATAGAGGTTGGAAGCTGAGCTAGATCAGTTGCTTGTTTCTCCTGTTACCTTTCTAATGGTCCCTTCTTTGTTTCCTTGCTCCTCTTTCACATCTATTAATATTTGTGCTCCCCAATGATCTCTCCTTGCTTCTGTTGTCCTTACTCTTTACCAGTTCTTCTTCTATCATTGTTCCCACAGCTCTTACCATCATTTCTACACAGACGACTCCTAAATCTGTGTCTAAACCTATGTCAGCTGTCTTCTCAGCTCCATATCTGAATCACAAGTTGCCTAACTCTAAAGGACATCTCCACTAGGATGGCCATCTGGCACTTCAAACTCAACATCTCCAAAACTGAACTCATCTTGTTTTCAAATTTGGCTTTCCCCCCAATTTCTCTGTTATGTTCATATAACTAGTCCCTCTGTCTAGTCACCCAGACTTATCCTGTAGTCATTCAATATTTTTTTCTTCTCTCTCACTCTACATTCAATCAGTTGACAAGTCCTGTAGACTCAATTATCAATCTCTTTCATTGGCTCCCTCTCCTCCATCCCTAGGTCATCTGATTTACCTCATCTCTCATTGCCTCGATTATTTGGCTTCTAACCGCTCTTTTTGCTGCTAGTTTATTCTCTCTCTGATCATGCCTTCATCATGTTGCCTAATGTACTGTTCTGATCATGTAAATCATTTACTCAAAAAATTTCAGTAGCTCCCTTTTGCCTCCTAATAAGCATAAATTCCTGATCCTATTTTAGTTTAGCCCACATTTAGTTTCTAACTTAAATGTTCAGGCTTAACTGTTCACATGTTTGAGTTACAGTTTTACTCAAACAGGATTACTGTCTCTAAACTCAGTCATCTTTCTCTTTCCTCTCCTCCTGTATTTGCTCATACTACCCACCTATACCTGAACTGGACTTCCCATACCACCTTCCCCCCTACATTTTTGGAATTTTTGTTTAAATGCTTTCCTTCCCTTAAGGTTCAGCTTACAAAGTCCAAGCAGAAAGTGATCTTATCCTTTTCAAATTTTTCATGACACTTTGCCTACATCTTTGGTTCACATTTATTCCTTTATCCTTTATATCATGGTGACCTGTGTACATGACTCTCCTCACTGGACTGTAAGTTCCCTAAGATCAGAGTCTAGGATATATTTATCCTTATTTCCTCTAGAGTAGTGTCTTGCCCATTCAACATTTGTGGAATTGAATAAACTTATCACATCTACAACTGTGCTTTTTTTTATCCTCCCCCCCCAAAATCTTCTCCTTCTTCTAATTTCACAGTTTCTGTTAGTGAGGGACACTAATATTTGCCCAAACTTCTGTTTAACCCAGTATAATCTTTAACGCTTTCCACTCTTTTACCTCTAACATCAAATCAGTTGACAAGTCCTATTTTGCCTCTGCAATATCATTCACATCCATCACTTCAATGATATTCCTATTTTTATTACCTTAGTCCAAGCTCTCATTACTACCCCACACACTTACTCTGTTGTGGTTTTCTCCTAACTGAACTTTTCCTCTGTCTTCTCTTCTCCTCTCCAATCTATGGCTCCTAGAACTCAAAATGATACTTCATATGAAGTCCAATGAGGATTGAGTATAGTGGGACAATCTTCTCTCTATTCTTGGAAGCTATGCCCTTCTTAATATTCTTCATTCTGGGCCAACATGGTTGTTTTCAACCCATCCAAGGTAAACATATCAGTGGATTGGTTGCATTCAACAAGCATTTATTAAATGTCCACAATGTGAAAGGCACTTGATTCAGTGCTGGGGATATGCAGATCAAAGCATGGGAGATGCAGTTGATTGTGGAGTCAGAAGACTTGAGATTCAGTCCTGGCTCTGACATTTTTGACTCATGTGACTGTGGGAAAGCTACAAAAAACATTCCAAGTTACAGTTTTCTCATTTATGAAATACACTTATTTGCATTATCTAACTCCCAAAGTTATTGTGAGGAAAATGCTTTGTAAAGTTAGGTAGCTAGGGGATACAATGGATGGAGGCTTGGGCCTGGACTCAGAATAGACCTGAGTTCAAATATGGCTTCAGACACTAACTAGCTATATGATCTTAGGCAAGTCACTTAACGTGTTTGCCTTAGTGTTTTCAACTGTAATATGTGGATAACAGCACCCACCTCCCAAAACTTTTGTGAAGATCAAATGAAATAATATTTGTAAAGTGCCTGGCACATACTAGGTGCTATATAAATGCTAGCTATTATTATTATTAAATGTAAGATATCATAAAAATATGAGATACTACTCTGGAGTTGAAAAATCAGGCACCTGGGTTGGCATTTACTGATTTTCTTTTGTTGTTGTTAAAAGCACCATCTACATTTTTTCCCATTTGTTTAGAATCTTTCTGTCTTTGAGAACCTGATGATCAATTTCTGCATGCCTTTAAAATTATGTTAACTATAGATAGATTTCTTTCATATGTACTTAGGTCCATCAGCTCTTTATAATTTTTCCTGCTTCAGTGCCATTTCCAGTTCTTCATG